CAAGATGGAAAGAGGAACGGGTAAGAAAAACAGATGAAAGGCGAAAGGAAAGGAAATGAAATAAATAAACGCACCTAGCTACGAACTCACCGAGATATGCCTAAACCGTGCATAGTTGAATGCGAACGAACGTTGAACGACATTTAAAACTGAAAGACACAAATCTAGTGAAAGACCTAAAGCTAAAGTATCTACAACAATTCTAGAACCTAAGCCTTAAACAACATGCGGCCAATACTATGCTAAACGACTACGATATGAGACCAAGAAATGGTAGTCTAGCGTGTAATGATCTAATTTGGCTCAAAATGATAAGTTAGGGTGGTTCTTACCTTGCACTAGTAGGTGGAGCGTGTTTGGCGGGGAGCTTAACTAGGGAGAAGGAGCAGCGGGAGAAAAAAAGGACGAACAAACCCTAAGGGAGTCTTGGATTCATCGCAAAAAACAATGACTTTTTCGTGGCACGAAACGCGAGTCGGTGCTGTCGCAGTCGACTTAGGAGTGAAGCTGGATTCGCAAGGTCTTTAGTTCGATTCCAGCTGATGTGAAATTTTGAATCCTTGCCGAATTTTGTCCCTCTTAGTGTCATACTACAGCAAATGTACAGAATTAGAAGCTGTACAAATTTATGTGATTACGCAAAAAGCTTCGCAACCCTAAGACGATCTAGTCGACTCTTGTTTTCTCTCACCTCACCTGGATCTACCCACCCAACCGTACCCGTACTGCTGCAGTGGTCGTCGAACAGAAACGCCAAAACTTGATCGAGCCCGTCCTGTCCTGCGCAGACTTTGAATCGTTCGCGGTCAATTCGAACTGCGATCCACTCTTCGCAGTGCGTGTTTGCGAATGCGATCTTTTCGGGCAGAACCATGCGGCTGCCCGTATTTAGGGTTGGGACTCCCCGTGTTTAGGGTTGGGGCTCCCCTAATCGCATGCCATCCAGATGGGGTTTATTTTTTTCTGACCGCGGGCAGATAACGACCCCTCAGCTTCTTCCACTGGGGATCGCATTTGCGAACCGCGCTGGCTAAATTGGATTGCAGCTGAAGTTGTCCCAATGGTTCGCGCTAGCTTCACAGAGGAAAGTGCGAGGCAGGGCAGTTACCTAACACCAGGCGCAATCCACGTGTCCCGTCTGCTGTGCCATTCGAATCACAGAGCTAGGCAAAAACGGTTGAAAACGGTTTCACCGTTCTCAACCGTGTGAATAACATCGTGTTTGCAAAACAAACGCAGCAAGCCCAGGCTGCCAAGATCCGACCCCAGGTTCGTTCGGTACTGCTGTAACCCGTCCCCCTCCCAACCAAGCCACCCACCCAACCTCTCACTTCACTTCGCCCTACCACCCAACCAGCCCGTCATTAGTAAAAGCTCTAGCAAGTTAGTACGAGTAGTAGTAGCATTAAGTACTACTTGTAGTCGTAGCACTGGCGTCGATTAGGAAATTCGTTTCGTAATGGTCCATAGTTGCGTCACTGAAACGCCAGTGTTTCCTATCGAGTAATATCATGAGTCGCGAGGTGCGTTTTCCTTTTGTGAGTAAATTAGGTCACCTAGCACCCTCACAGCGGCGTACTAGCAGCACTAGTACTAGCAGTCGTTCTTATCGACCGAGGCTTAAGGATAGGGATAGTAGCGGCCTGACTGGTTATCTTAATACTAGTTTGTTCCTCGTCAAAATTTGCAATTGCTGCCGTTTTCATCGCTGGCTCGTAGATTAAGTACGAACCGCTCAAAGCGAGGATTAACGACTTCGGTAGTGTGGCAACCGCCGCTGGTTGCTCTGTTAGAACCGCGCAGTTCGCAAGGGGGGAGAAAAAAACGCGGCGCGGTTCATCCTACCCCCGCGCACCTACGCGGCGGACCCCTCTCATTCCGATGGGCGCTGTGCTACTGGATCGTAGCGATCGGGTGTCCGGTGAAAACAATCGGCGCGCTCTCAAGCATTCGCGGAAGAAGCGCCGCAGCTTTTTTCTGGAAGGCGCATTCTTGACATGGCGCGCTGCCGGGCTGCCGGTAGAGGCGGTGGCAGTGCGTGCGTGCGTGAGGATGACGTGGCGGAACAGATCAATGGCGTGGCAGACGTGCGGATGATGTGCCTTTCCCGGGCCTGCTAGGCAACATTCGCGAATGGCTGAGATTCTGCGATTGCGCCGCTGCAGGTGGGTTGAACGCCCGTTTTTTAGGCGCCTCGAAACCCGCCAGGTAGGTTATGACGAGTAACCGATGCGTTATAAAATACGCGAACTGAATGTTGTTGTGTGGAGCGTGAGTGGCTATTTTTGCTTATTGCCCTCGTTCTAGGCGCCTCGAGAGAGGCGCTCCCACTGCTAGTATGCGGCATGGCATGGCATGGCATGGTTTGACGTGGGCATGTTTGGCATGGTGTGCCATTGGATGGCATGATGGCATGCACATGGCACATGGCATGGCACCACGTCTCTCCTGCTCCTCGTCCTCCCGTCCTGTCTCCGGCTGTCTCCTGCCATCACTCCTCCTGTGCCTGCCCTCCCAGTTACCTGCCCAGAGTTGCAATCCTCTTCCTCTCCCATTTGCTCCTCCCCGTTCTCGCTCTCCCCTCCCCTTTCCCGTTTGCGGCAGCGGCAGGAGCAGCGGTGGCAGGAGCAGCGATGGCAGAGCGGCAGCGGCAGCGGCGGCAGCACCAAACAGTACCGGAAAAGACAAGGAAAGAAAATCACGAGCAGCAGCAGCGTGGGTAGCGGCAGCGGCGAAGTGAGGGGGTGGTGCAGATGAGGAAGGAAGGGAGGAGTGAAGGAAGGAGGGGCGGAGGGGCAGGGAGGGCAACTAGTGCTGCCAGGAGCGGCATCAGCAACACCAGGCTTGTGGAGCTTCTCTCTCAAACACCAACAACGAAAAGATAACACGTGAGAATCATGGGCGCGGGATGTGCTTAGCTGAATGCATTCACTCCCTGTGCTCCATGTGCGTGGGATTGTGTGTGCATGCGCGTATGCCTGTGTTGGCAGCTGCAACGTATTCTCGTCCGTCTTACATGATTTCTGTCCCATGCCTCCCCGCCACTCCCATGCCTCCCTGCCTGCCCCCCATGCCTCCCTGCCTGCCCCATGCCTCCCTGCCTGCCCCATGCCTCGTTGCCTGCCCCATGCCTCGTTGCCTGCCCCATGCCTCGTTGCCTGCCCCATACCTCCCTGCCTGCCCCATGCCTCGTTGTCTGCCGCATACCTTCCTGCCTGCCCCATACGTCCTTATTCCCATCCACCCGCTCTTTCCCCCTTCCCCCCAGTTCCCCCCAGGTCGCCTGACAGGTATCTGACGACCGTTCACGACCTCCCGAGCCTGATGCGCCTCCACTCCACATGCCCCTGGCTGCTCCGAGCCTGAGCTCCAGGCCTGGCAACATTACAGAAGAGAGGGTTTGGGAAACGGCAGCGGCAGCACCAGCAGCAGAAACAGAAGCAAATAGCAGCAACTAAAGAATCAGTAGCAGCGGCAGCGGCAGCGGCAGTGCATTAACAGGGACAAGCAGCAGCAGGGACAAGACAGTGAAGCAGGAGGGACAAGGAGGGGGAGGGGGAGGGGGTGAGGGAGAGGCACAGGGATGGAGGGGAGAGGGAGAGGGAGAGGGAAGGAAGGGAGAAGGAAGGGAGGGGGTCTGGGGTGGGGCGAGGGGGAGGAATGGTAGGGCTGTTGGCGAGGGAGATTCGGAGTGTCGAGGGGGAAGGGGGGAGAGGGCAGGGTGCGGATGGGTGTGCGACGAGACGGGAAGAGCGGCAGAGAAAGGGAACACATGAGGAGCAGCTGAAGGGCATGAGCTGGCACGTGAAGGGCATGAGCTGGCACGTGAAGGGCATGAGCTGGCACGTGAAGGGCATGAGCTGGCACGTGAAGGGCATGAGCTGGCACGTGAAGGGCATGAGCGGGCACGTGAAGGGCATGAGCTGGCACGCGAAGGGCATGAGCTGGCACGCGAAGGGCATGAGCTGGCACGCGAAGGGCATGAGCTGGCACGCGAAGGGCATGAGCTGGCACGCGAAGGGCATGAGCTGGCGCATTATGTGTTGATGAGTGATTCCCCCGATCATGATGATGGTGACGCTGCTGCTGCTCTTCCACCTGTTCCTCCTCCTCCCCCTCCCCCTCCTGCTACCGCTGCTTCGGCTGCCACTGCTGCGGCGGCTGACAATGACGATCATGGTAATGGCGCTGCTGCTAGCAAGTCGTGCGGTGGCACCGGTGGTATAGCTTACAAGCGGCGTGGTGGGCTGGGGGGCCAACACGCTGCTGCCAGCAACAGTCATGGTGCTGTAGCAAGAAAGCATGGTCAGGGTGGCAAGGCATGTGCTGGTGGTGTGCCTGCCACGAGTGCTGCTGAGGACTCACAGGTTTCTACTACTACAGCTGCAGCTGCAGCTGGTGGTGCTAGGCCTGCTGTTAGAGACGCAACGGTGGGTGTGATAAATCTTGTTTCCCCGGATGCACACAAGGATGCTGCTACACATGCTGCTACACATGCTGCTTCAGGTGCCGCTACAGGTGCCGCTACAGGTGGTGCTACAGGTGCCCCTACAGATGCAGGTGCCGCTACAAGTGGTGCTACAGTTGCTGCTACAGATGCAGCTACAGGTGCTGCTACAGGTGCCGCTACAAGTGCGGCTGCAGAAAAAGGAGCAAGTGGCATTGCTGAAGCAGTGACTTCCGCTGCTGCTGCTGCTGCTGCTACCGTCAGAGGGGGAGGGAGGAGAGAAGGGAAGAGAGAACGGACGAGAGAAGGGACGAGAGAAGGGACGAGAGAAGGGACGAGAGAAGGGACGAGAGAAAAGACGAGAGAAGGGACGAGAGGAGGGACAGGAGAAGGGGCAAGAGAAGGGACAAGAGAAGGGATAAGAGAAGGGACGAGAGAAAGAAGGAGAGAAGGGAAACGGTTGAATTTTAATCAAGAGGCAGAACAAGCAGGAATGGAGGAAGAGGAACCAGAGGGAATGAAGCAAAAGGAAGAGGAGGGAGAAAAGAGAGGCATGGCAGGCGCAGCTTGCGGCACTGGCTCACCGCTGGCACAGAGTGCAGCTGATAAGGCCGATGGGGTGGAGGGGGGAGAGGGAGGGGAAGAGGGCGATGGGGAAAGTGAGGGTGGGCAAGGGGGCGGTAAGTGGGTTGATGCGTCTGTAGTTTGCATCAGCGATTCTCCCGAGGAGCAGGCAGAGGAGGAGCAGCCGGAGGAGGAGGGTGGGGAGCAGGAGGAGCAGGAGGAAGAGGAGGATGGGAAGGAGGGGGGGAAGGAGGAGGAGCAGGAGGAGGGGAAGGAAGGGAAGGAGGCGGGTAAAGAGAAGGGGACGGGGGTTGGTGATAGGGGCCCGCAGGGTGCGAGGGACATGTGGGGCGATATGGACTTGCGCAGTGGCTTGGCCTCCGCCACTGGGCTGCTGTCGTCGCTGCAGAAAGGGGCTGCAAGCGCACCCACCCACACACCCAACCGAACACCCAGCCACATACCCACCCACACACCCAATCACAACCAGACTGGAACACGGTGCGTGGCAGAAGTGCAGGGGAGAGTGCAGATGGGGGTAGAGGGGCCGAAGGAGGGGGTTGGAGGTAGAGGGAGGCACCGAGAGCCACCTGAAGCACCTGAAGCACCTGAAGCACCTGAAGCACCTGAAGCCACCGAACAACCTGGGGCACCTGAGGAATCTGAGGCAGCAGAAGGACCTAGAGGAGCAAGGATTGAGAGGAAAGTGGAGCACGAGGAGGAGGATGGGAAGGGCAGCAGGGAGGGAAGGCGGAAACGAGGACGGATTGAGGTTCCGAGGGGGGTGGGGCGGGCTGGAGGACGAGCAAGGAGGCTGAGAGGGGGGCCGGGTAGAGTGCAGGAAGGCGATGAGGATGTGGGAGATGGTGGGGTGGAGATGAGTGCGAGGGTGGGTGGTGGGGGTGGTAGGGAGGAGGAAGATGAGGATTGTGGTGTTGTAGGCTGCAAGGGGTCGAGGGACGATAGAGCGAGGGAGCATGGAGCGAGGGAGGGGATAGGTGCGAAGAACTTTGGTGGAGGAGAGGGGGATGAGATGGAAGTGGAGGAAGTTGAAGAGGATGTGACTGTTGAGGTGCGAACAGGTGGAGGTAAGGAAACTGAGATGGAATTGGAGGAAGAGGAACATGAGGTGGAGAGAGCAAAGGGAAACAAGGAGGTTTGGAAGGGGGGGAACAGGGAAGGGGAGGGTGTGGGGGAGATAGTGAAGGGGGTGGGTGCAGCAGAGAAGAAGCGAGCGCCATCTTGCCTGGGAGGGCAACCTGGGGCAGAAGCTGGTTGCATGGGCGCAGGAGAGAGGGGAAGCGATGTGGATGTGGGGGATGGGGGGAGTGGAGCAAGTGTGGGGGAGGAATCGGAAGAAGAGGAAGGTGAAGTGAGAGAGGGTGAGGAAGATGAGGTTGAAGAAGTGGGGCTGGAGGAGGAGGAGAGAGCGGAAAGTGGGCAAGAGGAGGTAGAAGTGGAGGAAGTTGAGGAGACGGGAGGACGGGATGAGTGTACGGAAGAGGAGGACGAGGAGGAGAAGGGAGAGAAGGGAGAGGAGGTAGAGGAGGTAGAGGAGGATGACGAGGGAGAAGTGGGCGAGGAGGGAGAGGAGGGAGAGAAAAGGGAGGAGGAAGAGGAGGGGGAGGAGGGGGAGAAGGAAGATAAGAGTGGGAAGGAACTCAAGGTAGGAGGGAGAGGAGGGGGGCTGGGTGGTGGCAAGAAGAGCAAGTGTGTGGCTCAGAGTGGGGCTGGCGATGGACATGCGAAGCACAGGGCAGAAAAGGAGGCGAAGAGAAGTGGAAATGTGGTGGAGGTGGCAAGCACACATGCGATCATTATCAGCAGTAGCAGCGACGACAGTGATGGGCGCGAGGGGTGCGGGGAGCGTGAGGGGAGTGGGGAGCGTGAGGGGAGTGGGGAGCGTGAGGGGAGTGGGGAGCGTGAGGGGAGTGGGGAGCGTGAGGGGAGTGGGGAGCGTGAGGGGAGTGGGGAGCGTGAGGGGAGTGGGGAGCGTGAGGGGAGTGGGGAGCGTGAGGGGAGTGGGGAGCGTGAGGGGAGTGGGGAGCGTGAGGGGAGTGGGGAGCGTGAGGGGAGTGGGGAGCGTGAGGGGAGTGGGGAGCGTGAGGGGAGTGGGGAGCGTGAGGGGAGTGGGGAGCGTGAGGGGAGTGGGGAGCGTGAGGGGAGTGGGGAGCGTGAGGGGAGTGGGGAGCGTGAGGGGTGTGGGGAGCGTGAGGGGTGTGGGGAGCGTGAGGGGAGTGGGGAGCGAGTGAAGAGCCACGAGAGCAGAGGCGAGCACGGCAGCAGCAGCAGCTCTGACTCCGAATCTTTGAGGAGAGTGGGGGACAACAGGAGGTGTAGGGTGGTGGAAGGGGGAGAGGCAGAGGTTATGAGCGGCAGGGAGGAAGGGAGGTGTGTGACAAGTCCAAAGGAGAGGTGGAGACGTGAGAAGCAGGGCCGAGGCGCGGCAGCAGGAGGTAATGCCAGGAGGAGAAAGGTGCAACAGTTACAGCAACAGCAGTCGAGGGAGAGGGAGCTTGGGGAGAGGCAGGGAAAGAGGCAGGGAAACGGAAAGTCACAGGGATTGTCGCAGCAGCTCTTGTCGCCTCGTGAATTTCAATCCCCTTCGCTTGTAACCTTTGGCATGCAGTCGCTCTCCCTTCAATCACCTGGGCCTGTGCTTGTGTCACACCCTGTACAGTCACATGTACCTACTGATCACCCCTCTCACTCCCCTCACCCCTTGCACCCTCCTCACCCCTCTCACTCTGCGCAACCTTCGCATCGCCCTCACCCCCCTGCGGCTACATCGGAGCCGCGGCGGTCGTCACGGGTGAGCAAGAGGGACGAGCAGAAGCAGCAGCGGATGGCAGAGAGGCGGCGAGAGATGGGCGAGGATGTGAGGAAGCGGCTGGACGACCTTCTTAGAGAGAGTGAGAGAGAGAGTGATTGAGAGAGTGAGTGAGAGTGAGAGACAGAGAGAGTGAGTGAGAGAGAGATCGAGAGTGGGAGAGAGATGGAGTTTCTTCATGACCAAGATCAAACCTGGCTGGCAAAGGCAGCAGATTCAGTTGCTCACGCGGCTGTTACACAAGAGTACAGCATACTTCCTTGCTCCATCTCCTGGTCGCACAATGTATGGCTGTAACCATGAAGTCATTTGCCAAAACAAGATGCCGAAGTCAAGTCAGATTTCACCATTTTGTATGTAATGAGCTGTTGTGTGGAATCACTTTAGCTCCTTGAATACCGTACGCAACGCATACTGTTTGCTTTCATTATTCTGAGAAAGTGTGGACGAGCATCAGGATGGTGGCAGGCAAATGGGAAGAGATCTGTTTCCATTATTGAAGGAGGTGTTTATAGCAGAAGCTTCTCAAGAATGGTAGCTTTTTCCATATTGCAATCCTTAGGTGCCCCCAAGAGTATTGGATATGCATACACTTGTCTTTGTATTGCAGCCTAGTATGTCGCCTCTTCTACACCTCCACCCACTATCGCGATCATGGTCAAGCGTCCCCCCAACCCGTTCTCCCTAACAAGAATGTTACGACCAAAGTCACCGCTCAGAACCTTACTAAATGTTCCGTAACACAGAAGTAAGCTTATTCACCGTGCGCAACCTTTCTCTCGAGAAATTATTGTTGAATTATATTCCACATGACATTTTCTCCATCCTAGTCCACCGCATAGTAGTCGCCGCCCAATAGCCAAGTAGAATCCGCGAAAAGCGACATCGTCCAATCATCTGAGTCCATTAATAAATCCGCCGTGGGGTCGTTCTCACTCCCTTCACCTCCCATTCTCGTCCCTCCTCGGTTAGTATCGCCGCTGCGCGAGCCGCATTCTCACAACATAAATCCCCCCTTCCCAATGTTCACCATGTCTCGCCATTCCACGCATGCTTCCCACCTTCTCGCTTTCCCTCACGTATCGCTGCACTTTGCGTCGCTTCGCGCCATCTCTCATCGGGACCACCTCGGCATCACGCTGCGGTTAAACGTCGGCGCTGCTACGTACATACTAGATCGGACCGCATCACGTGACTTTTGAGGCGTCTCTAAAAGCGTCGGCGCCACCACCACAGAGCGGACGGCATCAGACGACCACCACGCTGCAGCGCAGCGGCGTCTCCTTCCCCCTCGCCAGTCACCCCGTCTCTCGCCGCCACCATGGCGCACGGCGGCCGCCCGCGTTCCGCCCTTCAAGCTGGCCTCGCCGCGGTCGTCGCGGGCCTCGTGTCGCTCGCGCTCGTCGCAGAGAGCTCGTCGCCGTACGACACGTCTGTCAGGTTCCAGGGAAAAGCTGCGACTGATTCCAGTCGCTTTATCTTGTACGACAATCCGTGCAAGAATGTCGTGTGGCCGTACGCCACCGGGACCCCAATCGACGCGAGCATCCAGTGGGGCAATGTGTACGCGCCGCAGCTTTATCGCAAGTGCATCAGCATCGCGTTCCACCCAACCACGGACTGCAAGGGGGATCCCTACGTGACGTACCAGCGCCCTCTGCCCATCACCACCAGCTCCTTCACCAACTGGTGAGCACCGTTGCACTCCGTCCACGCATGTGTCATGTGCCATGCCATGTGCCATGTCATGTGCCATGCCATGTGCCATGCCATGTGCCATGTCATGTGCCATGCCATGTGCCATGCCATGTGCCATGCCATGTGCCATGCCATGTGCCATGCCATGTGCCATGCCATGTGCCATGTGTCGCACAACGGAGGAACCTTCCTTTGGAGGCATTTGCAGAGTTCATTCAGATTGCAGAGTTCATTCGGATTGCAGAGTTCATTCGGATTGCAGAGTTCATTCGGATTGCAGAGTTCATTCGGATTGCAGAGTTCATTCGGATTGCAGAGTTCATTCGGATTGCAGAGTTCATTCGGATTGCAGAGTTCATTCGGATTGCAGAGTTCATTCGGATTGCAGAGTTCATTCAGATTGCAGAGTTCATTCGGATTGCAGAGTTTTCCTTCTGCCACGTGCCTCACGTCTGACCCTTTCCTGTTCTCCCGTTGCCCCCTCGCTGCCGCTGTTCTCAGGACGCTCGCGACAGCCAAGGACTTGCCGGCATCAATGAAATGCTGGACGGGTGAGATGATTGCACCACTGGTGGGCCCCGCACTCACATGCACGGTGTCACATGCACGCTTGCACTGTAAGGTATGGGGGCAGGTCATGTGTCAAGGCCCGTCGCCCGAACTGCTCTGCACTGTTCTTCGCAGCTGTGACTTGCCATGTGCGGTGTGGTGTGGTGTGGTGTGGTGCAATGCTGTGTGTGTGGGATGTGAGACATCACTCCGTTGCTGTGCTCTTGAAAATTCTAGTGGCCGCTTAATTGCACTATTGATCGATTCTACTACACTACACTATTCTCCATCCCTGATTCAACTGACTCACTGATTGATTACTGTGAGCAAAACACACGCCTGACTGCATTCTTCTCCCTTCTCCGCCCCACGTTGTCCCGCCTCCCTGCCATCACAAACGCCCGGTGCTTGTCGTGAAGGCTGTGAGCCATGTGGGACAGCCATGTGCGCCGTGGTGGACGGCAAGTACCAGTGTGTGTGCCCCGCCTCTCAAGTCTTCGACGCCACTGCCAAGCTGTGCCGCGGTGAGTGGCGCTCTATTAGTAAGTGTGAGTGCATCGGGAGGGAGACAAACTAGAGTGTGAGTGCCCAAGGCTGAGCGCCTTGGAGTGTGGATGTGCTGTTCTTTCCCTCGCCTCTCACGTCTTTTCAAGTGTGTGTGCTCCGGCTGGTGGGCACAAGTCTTGGATGGGCAGCACCGCTCGCCACTTAGTTCCTTTGAACTTGCCTTGAGGGGGCCCTGTTTCAGTGAGCGTTGCCTCTCATGCGCTCTCATCCGAGCAGCCAAGCTTGTTTCGCCAGCGCCGTGCTTCTCCCTGCCCTGTTGTCTGCAGCTCCCCCATCCTCTTGAGTGACCATGGTGGTTCTGTTCCTTGTGCCGCTGCAATGAGGTATTCCAGTTGGATGACAACCCTCGTTATAATACATGTTATGCCTCGTCTATGCTTCTATCCTGATCCTCCCCTACCCTCTTATATGTTCAGCGGTTTGAGGAGCACCAGCCAAGGTGATGGTGGTTTAGGCGGCTGTAGCAGCAATTTCTACCTGCCCACCAAGCCTTCCATCGCTGCTTTTTTCCAAAGAGCCAGTGTGGCAACCAACCAGCTTCAAACACCCTGTGGCTTAGTAAAATAAGTGGTTATTGTGAAACTGAATGAGGTGTGTGTATTAGTAGGCTGTACTTTTTTATGTTTGTAATGCGTAATACTGTAAAGCCCAAATGTACCATGTTGAGCAACCAACATTCACTATACAAAAAGGTGTGGGCACCAACATGTAGTAACTGATTTCATTCTATTTCGCAAAATCGAAATTCCATTAACGAACTCCGACTTTGAAAATTGCTCGAACCCAACGAGAAGTGAAACGCAAGCTTTACGACAGTAGCGAACCAAAGAGATTGGGTTGGGTCGGCTCGACCTGGTGAATCTTTCTCTAAAGCTGGTGCGTACGCACTGGGTTACGACGAAATGAGTGCCAACTTGATTGGTCAACATCATTTTCCCGAAATGCCAAGTGCGTGCATTGTTAATTCGCCACAGTCGTCCGTCATCAAGGTAACTTGCGGGCTTCTTGGTGGAAACTTCGAGGCTACTCAGTGAGGGTGATCCGGGTGTCCGCACATCCTCAAAGCGAGTTCTGCCTGAGATTTTTCGGATGCTTCGGGTCTTGTTATTCCTCTACTTGCCTAAGATCTCGCAAACAGCCGTGGCGTTCTTGAAGTCATTGAAGTCATTGTGAGTTATGGTCATGCCCATTTGTCAGTCAGCAAATACTTCATTGTCACTTGTGTGTGCTCATTATGAGTCAGCACAGCACACACGCCCAGCTGAGCAGCAACAACTCTTTTGCGCATCGTACAGCACAGCACGAACGAGCTGACCATGGTACGTTCGTGCTGTGCTGTACGAGGCGCAAAAGAGTTCGGCCCAATCACGAACGCGGGAGCGCTGCCACCAAGGATTGGGTGGACAAGTGAAACGGGGAGGAAATGTGAAAAAATAGTTGTCTGGTCTAGCCGGAAAATCAAGACCTAGAAATCCGGGCTGAAATTTCAGTCAGGATGGCGAAGCAGTCCCTGAAGTTCTCAGAGCGTGACAAAAAGCGGCATCGTCCAATCATCAGAGCCTGTGGGGTCGTTTTAGCTCCCTTCACCTCCCATCTCGCATCGCCGTCGCGCCAGCCTCACTATAAGATTCCTTCCCGGCATTCACCATGTCTCGACATTCCACACGAGCTCCCACCTTCTCACTTCTCCTCACGTATCTCTTCACTTCGCTTCGCGCCATCTCGCATCGCGGCCACCAGCAACAGTACGACTTCAGCGCCCTAAAAAATCCTCGGCTGTGTCGAAAGTGCGGACGGCTCACGCGGTCACCTGCAGCGCAGCCTCGCTTCCCCGCGCCCCGTCTCTCGTCGCGCCATGGCGCGCGCCGGCCAGCGTTCCGCCGCCCTTCAAGTTGGCGTCGCCGCGGTCCTCGCTGGCCTCGTGTCTCTCGCTGCGCTCATCCCAGAAGCTAGCGCCGCCGTCTACGACACGTTTGTGAAATTCCAGGGAACGGGCAGTGCTTCCGGTCGCTTTATTTTCAACGACAGTCCGTGCACTAATGTGGTGTGGCTGTACTCAACTGCGCCGCCCATCAACGCGAGCATCCAGTGGGGCATTCAGGACGTGGCGCAGCTGAACCTCAAGTGCAGCAGCATCGCCTTCCACCCCAACACGGACTGCAAGAGGGATCCCTACGTGACGTACCAGCGCCCTCTGCCCATCACCAGCAGCTCCTTCACCAACTGGTGAGCTCGCATTATCCCAAACATGGGGAGGGCGTATCTCAACAGTTTCCTCCACGTGTCTCACTTTTGATTCTCCCTGCGCTCCCGTGCGACCCTCCCTGCTGCTGGTCGCAGGACGATCACGACAGCGAAGGGCTTGCCAGCGTCAGTGAAGTGCTGGACGGGTGAGATTGCACCACTGAACTCGCCCGCACTCACTTGCAAGCTGTCCCACGCACGCTAGCCCGTTCATGTGTCAACGCCCGTTTGACCGCACAGCACTGTGCTTCACAGCTGTGACATCCCAGAGCTTTGCCGCATGGTGCGGTGCGGTGTCGTGTGGTATGTGGTGGTGTGACACATCACTGTTGCGTTGCTCTTGCAAGAGTCTAGTGGCTGCTCAATTGCATGCGCACTCGCCGTCCTCACTCACTTATTGTTTGCTTGAGCCCATTCTTACTGTGAGCCCATGCTTCCTGCGAGCGCAACACACGCCTTGCTGCATCATTCTTCTCCCTCCTCCTCCCCACGTTGTCCCGCCTCCCTGCCACCACGTACGCCCCATGCATGTGTTACAGGCTGCGAGCAGTGTGGGACAGCCACGTGCACCTTGGTGGACGGCATCAAGACGTGTGTGTGACCCGCCCCTCTCAAGTCCTTGACGCCATGCGCAGCAGTGCCGTGGTGAGTGGCGCTTCATCGTCAGTGGGTTGCACCATGAGGGAGTAAAACCCAAACATCTGTGCCTGAGACTCTAAGCCTCCTAGAGTGTCGAAGCTGAGTTCGTTCGCTTGCCTCGTCACGTCTTTCCATGTGTGCGTGCCCTGGCTGGTGGGCTCAAGTCTCGAATGGCAGCAGTACTTGCTCCTCCCTAACCACTGCTCGCCGTTCGGTTTATTTTGACTATCCCTGAGGTTGCCTCCCTTTGAGGGAGCGATGCCTCTCATGCGGCGCTCCAATCCAGTACATCCCGCTTGACAAGCTTGTGTCCGTCCCTCGCGCCGCTGCAATGAGGGGTCTAGATGAAAGACGACCCTCGTCCTTCTCACACTGTTCCTTCCCTGCTCGTCACTCTGTGCCGAGCCTCTTCCCCGCCCCTCAACCTTCTCGCCCTGAACTTTCTCACCCTCGTCCTTCGCACCCTGCGGAAATGTGTGGGTTACCACCATCCTATACTACCACAATTACATGCTATGCTTGTGTGTGTCCATCCTATACCTCCTCTCTTTCCTTTCAAATGCAGTGGCCTGAGGAGCATCAGTCAAGGGGATGATAGAGTAGGCAGGCGTAGAAGCACTTCCATTCTGCCCACCGTGCTCAGCATCAAGCCTTCCGGTGCTGCTGCTTTTTCCAGACCAATGAGTGCATCCTCCAGAAATGAGTGATTATTGCAAACGACAGTTTTCTTTATTGAGCTGTTAATACGGTAGTGTTTGTAACTATTGATGGAGCCTAAAGGTAACGCATGTTGGAAACAATGAATCTTAAGCGCTTCAGTCGTGTCGAAACATCGCACCAGAAGCGAAGCAAGCAGTATCGAAACAAACGCGAGTCAACCTTCGGAGGTTGCTGGAGGTTACGCGAAAGTCAAAGGTCAAGCGACCTTTGACCTGACAAATACAGCGCGACAGTTAAGGACACACAACTGACTCGTTACAGAGCAGTTGCCCGAGTCGTACTGTATCGAACCGCAACAGCAACAGTAAAGTAGTTACAAACTGCATCCTTTCATATTCCTTGTATTATTATATAATCTTGTACTTCCTTGCTATAATCAATCTACTTTGCCCTCACATACCAGCGCAAGGTGGTTCATAATTCTTCATTAAAGCTTCCGCTATTACAACACTATCCTACCCAGAGTTCTCCCTTGAAAAGATCCTAAGGGGCTATCTCAGCCCAACATGGTATGAGAGCAAACAGGGGAAACTCCACTACCTCCAAGTCATTACAAAACATGGCAACAAGCAAGGAAAGGAGCTCCTCTAACGGCTCCCCGGGCACTACCCCTACTCCACCTCCTGCCTCTGGCCTACAGACAGAGGAAGGCACGGCAACAAGACCAAGGGTGACATCTACTGAGACTCCCGCAAATCACCCCGCGAACTTCGACCCAAGCATGATGGAGAAGTTCTTCTCCTTCATGTCCTTCTACGAGCAGCACCAGCAATCGGGACCTGCACAATCACACAACAGCAACAACAACGGAGCAACGCCCATGAGCCTCGACGGGTCGTCATATGCGCGCGGAAATCAACAGCAGCAACCCACCTTCGCCCCGTACGAGCGCGGGTCGATCAGCTTCATGCCGCAGCCTTCACCTGGACAAGACAAACCACTGGACGCGTTACAAGTGCAATCACAGTTCGCGCATGTCCTGAAGCTGCAGACATCAAGACCTTTCGACGGAAAGGACTTCTTCACCTGGTCATTCGAGTTTGAGTTAATGATGGAAGGCGCGCAGATACTCGGCTTCTTCGACGGGTCCCTGCAATATCCAGCAAACGGGACGCAGTACGAGAAACAGCAGTACACCTATCAGTCCATGATGGCGTACATGATTCTACTGAGGAATGTCACACCAACTCAGCAGCAGAACATTCGGTCTTACCGGGCCTTCGGCAACTCGGCGGAACTCGCGTACAGCCACCTGAAGAGCCTGTATCAAGCAACAGACAGCGTAAACCAGAGCAGGTTAATGGCGCAGTTGACAACAGTTGAAATGAAACCGGGAGAGAAAGGAATGGCATATATCAGCCGATGTCGCGAACTGCGCGACAAGCTTCTTCGATGCGGAGGGTCGATCTCTGAAGACGCCTTCGTGACGGTCATCATCGGTGGCCTCGGTCCTCAATGGCGCGCCACCAAAGCTATCCTCCGAGCCCACGGGAGAATCTCTGAAGCAGCACTCTGCGCCGAAATCCACGCCGAGCAACAGGACATAGACCTGCAAGAAGAACGACACAGAAAGAAGACGACAACATCAGAGTTCGCGTTTCACACTCAACGACGTCACAACAACTACAACAATCGACAGCAACAACCGAAGCCAGTACCTCCCTTCTGCCACATCTGCAAAACTTCAGGGCACCCGCGCACGCACTGCCCAAACCGTCAACAGTCAACAACTCCGCAGCGGCATCTACGGCCTTCAAGCAACCAAGTCACGTCAACACAGGCGAACCCAACGACCCAAATTCAAGCTTCAACAACCTCAACGGGACAACCTGCACAAGGAGCAAGAAACATCGTTAGCTGTATGGCAAGACTGAGTGACTCTTGCGTCACGGAATCACCACCGTACTACTCACCGGAAGAACAACTCGATGAAACCACTCCTCGATGCGAGTTACTTCACCCGAACCCGACGTACGCCGCCATCGCCCAAAGCGAGCCATCCGGGAAGGACACATGGTTCCTGGATAGCTGCTGCGGGCAGCACATGTGTTCTTCGGGACGCTTCGTACAACGAGAGTATCAGCTTCAACGAGAAGTCGTCATCACCGTCGCCAACAACCAAAACCTGCGCACACGACGACAAGGAATCGTTCAACTTCAGTCACGGGAGACAAACGTCATTCTGCAAATGTCCAAGGTTTTAATTGCAGAAGGTCTCGGGTACAACCTACTAAGCGTCAGTCAGCTGATGGCGAAAGGCATCCATCTTGAAGCAGACAGCACCACCCAGGAGTTCAAGCTGTACCACGGGAGAGGCGGTCTCTACATGGGAAAGGCGATTCTCAAGAACAACGTCTTCGTTCTTGACTTCGTTCCCGACCTTGGCACCGCCGACAGTGACGCCATCGTGAACTTCACCAACTGGACACATCCTCCGGATCTTGATCCAGACTTCAGTCCGGGCGGCTTCTGGTACTCACACACCATTCCTGAAACAGAAAGAACAAGAGCATTAGCAGCAGAGACAACATCGGCAGCAGCAGAGACAACATCGGCAGCAGCAAAGACAGCAGCAGCAGGAACATCAACACCAGTCGCCGGTCCCTCAACGGCACCACCCTTCATCGACGACACGCCACCAACACCCGCGCAGCAGCTTCAACCAGCACCGCGAGAAGTTCACCGTAGCGCCAACTTCACCGCCGGCTTCTACTCCAACTCCGACATGTACCATCTCCAAAAAGTTGACCACCTCAGGCTGACCCTTCGAAATTGGGAACCCCCAGGTGACTACGGGGCTCCTTGTACCTCACCCGAAGGTGACTTCGGGGTCAGGTGCACACCATTTTCACCCGAAGGTGTCCTGGGGGTGATCGATTTCCAGGAAAATCACCCCCCCTGACCCCCAATTGACCCCAACCTGACCAGCGGGGCGCCTTCCAAAAGCGCCGAACCGCGACCAAGCAAACATTGACCAATCAAAGACGTCTAATTTTTACGAGTCGCTACAACGCAAACATTGACGAATCGAAGGCTGCAAAGCCTCGAATTGCATCTTATACAAACATTGACCAATCCGATGCCCCGAAAAACATTAATTCAAATTACTCGACAAGTGTAAGCATTGTACCTGAACAGAACAACAAATCAAATACGGTTACAATATGAATAACACCACAAAATTTTACAATACATCACGTTAGCTCGGGACAAAAATATCAACTTGCTTAGCATTAATTAAAAATAAAAACCTGGAAATTTGCATTTACGCTCTATCCCTAAAACAGCTACATAAGTTTTATAAGAGTGAGCATTAAGAAATTTACTTCGAATTGTTTCAAACTCTTTTACACGAATAATTATATGAAACATAGTATCGCCATAGTTTAGTTCACGTTCACCTATGTAACTAAGTTCAACTTCTCTTGTTCATCGTATTGACATTGTAGGCTGTAGTGGGGTAGCCAATATGGGGTACAACCCCAACTAGGGTTTCATATTTGTACCCAAACTTCTGCTAGTTCATTCATTCTTGCCTAGTTACTTTGAGATGGTATTCAGAGCAGGAGGTCCCTAGGACCTACCGACCGTTTTTTTTAAGGGCCCACCACCGCTCGCATGCGGTTA